TGTATGTGTATTTTTTTGTTTGTGTTGCTCGTGCATATCCCCTCACTACCTTAATATTGGTGTTGCACATAAGAAATTTCAACCTGCCCAAAAGACAATTCAACCCACCCAAAGATAGAAAATGTTAGAGAGAACACTGGTTGTGGGGCATCAATTATGTATGATTACCAATGTTCTTCATTAGCCTGGCAGATGTTCCACCTAACCCACCAGCATGTCAGAACAGATATTTTGTCATCATTATACATGAAGCTTATGGTAAGGCTTGGAAAAGATTTTCCAAATATTGCAAGTGAGAGTAAAAAAATCACAAGTTAAGAGCAAAAGAAAACTATAGAACATGTCTCATTTTCTGTGACTCCACAACTTAATCTAGACTTCCAAACTGCAGTTTGCATTGCTTACTGCTCTCATGTCTTTAATGATCTAAGACCCAACAGACAAGGTGAGAATTCTATTCAAGATGTGGCGTGGGAAAGCTATACAGCCATGGCCACCAACCTGTCGATTGTGATCAACCAGTCGATTGCGAGGTGTTCCGGGCCCCTTATTTCCCCCCACCCCCAAGAAGCCACGCTACCTACCTCCAGCAACAATGGAGGTAGTGGCAGCTTCCCGCGGGGTAGACGGAAGTCCTGCAGCACTTCCGGGGGTTCCGGAAATGCACTGGCTGCTTCCTTGCCCCAGGTCTGTGGCGTGTGGAGTCCCCAAAGGCTCACGTGCTAGGACTTCCATTCGCTGCAGAAGAGGAGAGTCGGGCCGGGGGGGGGGAGGGGGAGGCAGAGGCTTCCCTGCACCACGGGAGGCTCATGCCAGCCCCGGAGGAGGCACGCAACAGGACTTCTTCCTCCACGGGAAGTGGGGGGGTGGGGAAGTCAGCCCCAGATGGGGCACGTGCATGGGCTTCCCTGCTCTGTGGGAGGCGTGCACTGGCCCCAGAAGAGGCATGCGACAGGGCTTCCCTCCTCTGCAGGGGGAGTCCTGGGAGGAGGCGGGTACAGGGGACTCTCTGTCCCCACTGGCACCCTGTCCCCTACCACAGAACCCTGTCCCCTGCCCTCCCGGCACCCTGTTCCCACTCCCCTGCCCTCTGCTGCAGAACCCTGCTCCCACTGGCACCCTGTCCCCTGCCACAGAACCCTGTCCCCTGCCCTCCCAGCACCCTGCTCCCTCTCTCCCCCGACCCTTCATACACTGGAAGCCCCTGCCCTGAGCCTCTCACATATCCCAAGCCTCCAGGCCACAGCATCGTAACACTCCTGCACTGTCCCCTCCCCCCCGACCCTTCATACACTGGAAGCCCCTGCCCTGAGCCTCTCACATATCCCAAGCCTCCAGGCCACAGCATCGTAACACTCCTGCACTGTCCCCTCCCCCCCGACCCTTCATACACTGGAAGCCCCTGCCCTGAGCCTCTCACATATCCCAAGCCTCCAGGCCACAGCATCGTAACACTCCTGCACTGTCCCCTCCCCCCCGACCCTTCATACACTGGAAGCCCCTGCCCTGAGCCTCTCACATATCCCAAGCCTCCAGGCCACAGCATCGTAACACTCCTGCACTGTCCCCTCCCCCCCGACCCTTCATACACTGGAAGCCCCTGCCCTGAGCCTCTCACATATCCCAACCCAAATTTGTGCACCCTCACATCCACAAGCCTCTGGCTTGCTTAGTACCCCAACCCTCCATCTGACCCCAACACTGCCCAGCCTGGAGCCCCCTCCCCGAGCCAGCATGCTCTTCTCCACCTCCTCCCGCATCCAAATTTCCTCCCAGAGCTTGTACACCTCACCCCTTCCCACACCCATATCCCTCATTCCCACCCCAGAGCCTACACATCCTGTCTCAACCCAATGAGGGTACAGCTAGACTGCAAGGCTGTGTCTAGACTGGCAAGTTTTTCTGGAAAATCATCTGTTTTTCTGGAAAAACTTGCCAGCTGTCTACACTGGCCGCTTGAATTTCCAGAAAAGCACTGACGATCTCATGTAAAATCATCAGTGCTTTTCCGGAAAAACTATGCTGCTCCCGTTTGGGCAAAAGTCTTTTTCTGAAAGACTTTTGCACAAAAGGGCCAGTGTAGACAGCATAGTACTGTTTTCCGCAAAAAAGCCCCAATCGTGAAAAAGGCAATCGGGGCTTTATTGCGGAAAACCATGTGTAGATTGGCCACGGACGCTTTTCCGCAAAAAGTGCTTTTTCCGGAAATGCTTTTAATGGAAAACTTTTCCGTTAAAAGACTTTTCGGAAATTCATGCCAGTGTAGATGTAGCCCAAGAGTTTTTCAGGATTCCAGAGTTATCCCAGAAAAACTCTTCTACATCCAGGGATGCGTTTGTTCTTTCACTTTTTTTAGTGGAAGAGCAAATGTGCTCTTTAGGTAACCCCTATATTCCTCTTTCCACAAGGAATAAGGGGGCTTCCAAAAGAAGGGGTTTTTCTGACATTTGGTCCAGTCTAGACAGGCCAAATGTTGGAAAAACCTCTTCCTACAGAAGAATTGGGGAAAAAAAGCAGCAGTATAAGGATTGGGGATAGCAAGTGATGGAGAGGAGGAGAATAGAGAGGGCGGGTTGGGGCTTCAAGGAAGGGGTGGGGTCTTGGGGGAAGGATGGGGTAGTAGATCTTGGTTTGTTCTGTCATTTAAAAAGTGATCTTGGGTGTAAAAAGGTTGGAGACCACTGCTATACAAGTTTAGTTCTCCTATCTCGGATTCGGATTGTTGGGTGGACAAAACTCAAAGTAGGGCAAAAGTGAGAATGACTGGAAATAGAGGACAGCTTTTCTAGACCCTTACATTTTCATTATGTTCCTCAAATGTTCTCCTCCTCTCCATCACTTGCTAAAACTCAATTTATAGTTTATAAAACTCTTGTATATGTTTCAAATTATATGAGCATATAGAGTCAGGAGACTGTAAATGGAATGAGAGGGAACACACATGTAAACAAAAGTTTTGGTCCACCCTTCGTAAGGATGAAGTCAGTCATAGATCCATTTAATTCTCAATGAATTTACTTCTAGCAAATATTATTAGCTTGCAAGTGAAAACTAGAGTTATAGATACTGCTTAATAAATTGGGATTCTTCTTTAATTAGACTGCACACTTTCATATTTTGCAAATATCATACACAAATTCTTGATAGCCCACCTACTGAAAAAGTAAAAGGTAATGAACAATGTATTTAAACACACAAATACTTCTGTGCTATAGGTAAATATCCTGGCTGCCCCTATGAAATTAACAGCTACCTAAAGTACTCTAGTAGCCACACCACACATTTTTTTTTTACTTGTAAACAAATATAACAAAGTTAATCCGGCCACTCCCCTTAAAAACTGCAACTTAAAGTGTACTTCCTGTCCCGATGTAAAGACAAACCAAATCAGATATTTGCTTCTTATATATTGGTAAGGGGAAATAAAGCTAACACTTCACCTAAGCAAAAAAACAAGCAAAAAAACATGCAACCACATGAGTACAAACACCACCACACCAAAATGTCTAATGCATCTCCATATTGGTTATGATAAACAAAGTCCAAAATACACAGGTCAAATTAAGGAAACACCCACATACGCAGAGAGTGGTTTTTTTTTTCAATGAAGTTGAAGTGAGGTGAAGGTGCTAGAAGTCTCCAAGATACAATTCAGTGACCACTGAAGTTGCGGGGGGACGGGGACTGGTCACAGTACTTCCCTAAATTGTGTCATAACTTTTGGAGAGTCTCAGAAACCTGTTATAAGCAATCAACTGACTGAAAAACAGTGCCACATAAAAGCTTGTGCAAACCAAAGGGCTCCTGATAGCCAAGGAATCCAACCAAGAAGGCTCGAAGACAGAGCCAGCCTCGCTCCTCCCCATGCATTTGTGGGGCGAAGGTAGGGTGGGAAGCAAGGCGGGAGAGTGCAAGATCCAGCTCAGCACTCCTCCCTCTGCGGGGAGACCCCCCCAAGCTCCAGTCACAAACACTTTCCTTTACTGGATTCCCAGAGCAGGCAGCCGCTTCCTGTTCGCGCAGCCCTACCCTTCCCCTCCTCGCCCCATGCCCCGATGCACACGCACAGAACGGGGAGTAAGCCCCAGGGCGCCAGCCCCCAGCCTCCCTGCAGGCT